TATATATATATATATATATATATAAAGTATAAAAAATATCACCTTATGGCATGATGTAAAAATAACTTTTTATGAAAATTATAATTATCATATTGATCCATTTATTGAAACAGGTAAACAAATGTAGGTACCAAGGCTTTCAGTCTCGTTATATTTACGAGTCCCGGGAAAAAAAATCGAGACTCGGTGTTGTCTCGAAATTCCCGGGAAAAACGATACTTTCGAGACTACTCCAAAAATGGTTTCATACTCATAGGCTGGGTAGTTAGGCAGTCTTTTTTTACATTTTCTTATTTTACATTCATTTTTATTTTTAAAAGATTGAGTCTTTTTTTTAGAGTTTTTTTTGAAATTTAGAGCTTATTTATTGGTCTTATTACTGTGTAGACTCTGTTTTCCTATACCTCTTATTTAAGAAACTTACCTCTACATCCTCTGGATTGTGTATTATTACGTGTTTCATTAAACCGATTTTGATTTTAAATAAATCCTTATATGTTTTAGCTAAGATACGAAGGTAACTAAATAACACATCTGGAAAAAATATAAATATGTATATAATTTAATAATACTATTTTTCTATTTACTATATATTTAGCATAGGTAATTGTTAGTACAAACAACAAACTTTAGCGATAGTCAGATTGCAATAAAATATAAATATCTTACCGGATTCCATTATAAAATCAAAAGTATTTCCAAAAAATAATATTCCTTTGGGTCCAGGAATTTTTTCAAATTCTTCATCGATTAACAGACGATTATAAAAAAAATATAGCAGAGAAAGTATTCCCACCAACACTAAGAGCCACAACATTTTTGTAAAAAATAAGTCTATAACTTTAATAATATTTTTAGAACAATATTTTATTTTCTATAAATTAATTTCGTCAAAATATCAACATACAAGGAATCACCACGATGTTATTGAAAAACAAAATACTAAATACGTATGCTCCATATCAAGTATCTGTAAGGACTACTTCACTTCAACTGCTACCCCATCTCAATACATAACATATGTAGAAAAGTGCAATGCCGCGCAGCGCAGTTTTTTTACATCATAAAGTTGTAAGATACAATGTAAAATGAAGTCGATTAATTTATTCAGTACCTATGTAAGGTAGCATCTAATTAACAACTTTGTCATAAATTCTTACCTAATTAGTTTATGGACCGATCGTAATCCGTTTATTTTTAAGAGAAAAAATAATTGAAACCTGAGGTTTTATGTTTTTAAAACGTTAGCAGGTATATTAGAAACAAAATTCCGTAAAATGCTCTCGAGAAATGGGTGAGGAAAAACGTTGAAAAATATTTTTTTACTTGAAAAAATTATTTGCTTTCTGTGACGTCCTATCGAAAAATGTTCTTGATAAAAGTTGTAGGTTTAGTAAAAATCTACAACTTTTATAGATGACAGTTTTTAAAATAACCTCGAAATTTTCAAGATATTTTGATATATGTTTTTTAATTTTTTCTTATTTTAATTTTTAATTTCTGCAATAATTTTTAGATTTTCATAAAACTAGGGGAATGTAATCTTCGAAATACAATATAATAACCAATTTTTTTTCAATTGAAATATTTAGCTGTTTTCGAGTTTATGTTTTAAGTTCTCGGGAGGCTGAAAATCACCCCCAAGTTCAAGTAGATTTTTAAAATAAAAAAATCGTTCAATTTTCGAGCTCATTCAGTTAAAAAAAGAAAAAATCTGTACATTAAATATGTTTTGGAAAATCTTATAGAAAAAGACATTATTATCGATACAGAGGCCAAATCTATAGTTTTTATAATTTTGGTCTGTCTGTCTGTTACCGCATCACAGAAAAACTACTGGACAGATTTTGATGAAATTTGGTATGGTCATAGCTGATTATCCGGGTCAACATAAAGGATACTTTTTACCGCAGAAAAATATCTAATTTCTGAGAAAAAATACAAAAACTGGTATAAAAAACGAACATAAAATACGAATAGAATAAAAAACGATGATACTATATACATTTTAGCAAGTTAACTTACTAAATATGACAAAAACCTTTAAAAATAGCTAATCTTGAAAAAGTATATCAATTGCACTATTTTATTCATTAAAAAAGTTACTTTAATCTTTATATATATAATTCTTCTGTGAGTGTGTATGTCACTGAACTTCTCTCAAACGACTGGACCGATTTTGATGAATTTTTTTGTGTGTGTTCAAGGGGATCTGGGAATGGTTTAGATTCACAATTTTGTCCGCTGGACAATGTTTTTTTAATTAATTTTTAATTTTCAAATTAAAGACGTGTAGACAGGACAACGTCTGTCGGGTCCGCTAGTGAATATTTATTTTTGTATTATTTAGATATTTCAAATTGTCAACAGATGTCGCCATATGTCTTTAAAATACGTAGTTTCAATTCCAAAAAATTGAATGTACAAATTAGACCTTTCTATCATTTTATTAGAATTACTTCTAAATTGTCCGCGGCCCCGCCCGTGTTCAAATCATCAGAAAGCAATCTTTTTGGCTTTATAAATTAGTTACATCTATAGATACATTAAAATTTAATTAAGACGTATCTGTGCTTTAAATATTTTTTGGAAAATCTTATTGAAATACACATTATTATCGCTAACAGAGGCCGAACCTATAGTTTTAAGAATTTCTGTCTGTCTGTCTGTCTATGACCGCATCAAAGAAAAATATCTGGAGGGATTTCGAAGAAATTTGGTATGGTAATAGCTGGTTATCCGGCTCAACTAATATAATAATACGAGTATACTAATATGTAAAACCTAAAAGTTGGTTTTGGTCATATGAACGCGGGCGGAGCCGCGGGCAATGCTAGTATATATATATATATATATATATATATATATATATATATATATATATATATATATATATTGGTGAGAATCAAACCCACAACCTAATAAAGCAGAGTTATTATAGATTGAGCTGCGAGGTCAGCTAATGTGAAATAATTCCTGTGATAAAAGGGTCCCATGTCTAAACAACCGAAAGGTTAATGCACTTTATTGCCAATCTTTATGGCTCGCACTACATATAAGGTTTTGATCAGAGATGTGCAAAATAGTTTATAAAATGTATTTAAATACAAAATATCATATTTTTTATTTCAAACACAAAATATAAAATGTTTTTCATTTTGTATTTAAAAAACTAAATGCAAAATAAGTATATAAAAATAGGTATTTTGTATTTTGCATTTTGCATTTCAAATACTTATTTTAAAAATGTCACATCTCTGGTTTTGGAGTCTATATTTTGTCATTTGTCTTTGTCATTTGTTTTTAAACAAAATTTCACATACAGATTTCGCTAAGTTACTATTTTATTATATATAGATAAAAATAGTTATTGCGAGTGTACCTCGCATTATTTTGATGAATCTCTTAAGGTGTAACCAGCATCAGATTTCTAAGGACGACTCGATAAAACCAGTTATTGTGTTTTCTTTGAAAGATTTCCCTGCTCTAAAAAGTATCCCACATGTTGATCCGAGTAATAAGTTATCTAGAAATCAAAATGTCGATTTAAAGACAAAACATTGAGATTGTTGATTAGACTGTTCATTGATTGTGACTGATTTATTTCGAAAAATATTATTCAAACACAAATGCACCGACCGTCCGAAAATAAAAGCCTGTTCTGTATTAAACGCGCGAAATTCGAGACCTCGAAAAAGGTAGATGTTAATGAACTCATGTATGATGAAGTTTATCGTAAAAATCTTTTTGGTAAGTGTATTTTGTTTAGGAAAAATAATATTTATGATAAATCAATAAAATAATTAAAAATAATAAATAATTTTAAGTACTGAAAAATACTGTTTTATTTAATATTTTTCATTAAACAATATGGATTAACTACAAGCTAATTTGTATCGAACAAAAATCTTTGCAAATTAGCAAATAAATAAAATCTAAAAAATCCACCTTTTTTTAAATCTACACAAGCGTGTGGTTACAAAAATTCGAAACTTTTGAGACAACCTATAGCTCTTTCCACGTGAATCCGTATCGCCGCAATTTTTTTGATTTTTAAGACTTTCCCGGTCGGTTTCAGTTGAGCGCTCACGCTAGGAGGTCTGTCTGATTAAACCCATGTTGCAGCAGTAAATGTGCTATATTCTTTAAATCTCTGCCCGCAAGTATTGCAACTCTTTTCGGAAAAATTCTTTCTTGTTTTTACTATTAATTTATTTTTTCCATTTCGTTTCCAAAAATTTTATTACCTTCTATAGTAGTAGTAGTAGTATTCAGCCCTTTTTAACGTCCCACTGCTGGACGCGGGCCTCCCTTCAGTACGAGGGGGATCAGGCCATAGTCCACCACGCTGGCCAAGTGCGGGTTGGCGGACTTCACATGTCTTTTGAAAACTTATTAGGTTTTCTCAGACATGCAGGTTTCCTCACGATGTTTTCCTTCACCATTAAGACAAGTGGTAATCATGTTGGAAATGATTCGCACATGAAAATATCAGAGGTGCGAGACCCGGGAATTGAACTCGCTTCACTCGGTTTCCCAAGCGAGCGCGTTACTACTGGGCTTCCACTGCCTTATTATATACTGGCTCTTATTTGTTGCTGAAAGTTGTTCGGACTTAGGATTATAAGAAACCCGTATTAACATACAATGACATTATGTAATTGACTTAATCGATCGTGAATATTGTCGTTGTAGGGTTCATATCGTCGGAGGATGTGTGAAATTTTGAAGGCTGGTACCCTGCTTGCGTGTGCGCGTTTGGGTGACACACAGTGTTATATTAACATACCAACTGATTAATTAATTAACCAAGTATGTATGTGCTTACAGTCTGTTGATTAAAAGAAAATACTAAATGTAGTAAAAGATGAAATAACTTTCCTAATTTTCAGGAAAACTCTTATGGTGATATCAATTGCCTTAATAAAACATGATAGCAATTTTACTTAACTGATGTATTCCAAAATAGTTTATAAAAATATGTGTTAATTTTATGGCTATTTTCGTTTTTCTAATTTCACATAAATAGGATCTCTGACTCGTAGCACGTAATCAGTAACGAAAATGATATCCTGCGGTGTGGTGACGGGCAGCAGCCGGTAGCGACGCAACACAGCTGATAAGGCCAATTTCAACTCCATCATTGCAAATTTTTGCCCTATATAAATTTCCAAAATGTTAAAATAAGTGTAAATACCATGAGCTCTTTTGTAAATAGCTAATTAGTAAATAAACATATTCCTAGCTACATATTTTACTTGATTATAGAATTCGTCTGTACTTTATTCACTTTGGTAATCTTTATTGGAGTTGATTCTTTTAATCTACTCCCAGAACTATACGTCAAAAACAACACTTCATAATTAAAGCCTGTATCGTTCAAGATTTGCTTTAATAAATAGGTAAAGTAGTTTTAGCTGTGAATATCTTCGACTAGTAAGATAGAATACTTTTTGTTTTATAAATACATATTTGAATCACAAAATATATTAACCTACAATTTCATTATAAGCAAATTATGAAAATTTACGTAAAAATTATGTTTAGGTAATTTTGCTTACCTATACAATTTCTTGGTCCAGCACTGAAGGGGATGTACGCGTAGGGATGCCAAGTAGGCTCTACTAAAAATCTTTCCGGTCTAAACTCTTGAGGCTCAACGAATTGATCGATTCTTCTGTGAAGATCAAATATCAAAATGGCACACTCTGTTCCTGCAGGTACTTCATAGTCCCCTGTTAGTTAAAATGACAGATTCATAATATTTATACTATACTTTAGGTATAAAATTATTATATTTATTTATATTATGTATGTATTTAAAGTTATATATGTGTAGTGTATCAACTATCTGGTATCCATAACACGAGCCTCGTAGCTTACCATGAACCTAGATGGCGCTGGGTGTTAATGTCCCAACATTTACATATATGTAATTATAATTATATATATTATATTAATCATAATAAATTGTAAAGTAAATAAAATACACATAATAAAGAGAACTTCATTAGGTTATAAGATTTTATTTATCATACATTATATACGAAGCATTGACTTTATACTATAACGATCATGCCAATTTTCATTCAAATTTATGAAATGATTTTTACATGCTTATGATGAGTCGTCAATTATGAGTTTTATCAAGATTGGCTTAGCACTTCCATATTACAATCACAATGTAGAGTTAAGGTATACTCATAGTAACATTGCTTTAGTGAACTTTAGTGAACATCTTTAATTACCTAATTTTAGTGGTTCATTATTCCTTCGAGTGATGACTGGTAACGGTGGATATAATCTCAAGCTTTCTTTTATACAGCATTCTAAATATTTCATTTGTGCTAAGTCAGCCATTGTCAAAGAACAATCAGATGAGCCAAAAATCAGGTCACATTCCTCTACAACTTTATCCTTGAAATTAAATGAAAAATAAGTAGATATATCACCTATTTAGTTAAAAGCAACGAGAAGTAAAAGCAAAAATACTGAAAATTAAAAAAAAACTGCTTGATAAATCTAAATATGAGCATTGTAGATTTAATATTATAATTACTCAAGGTTACATTAATATTATAAATACTATCCAGTCATTGACTAATTTTGTTTATTTTTTTTTAATTTATTACAGTTTATAAGTGTACTATTTACTCTTTCCCTTCACAAAACAAATCGTTCCTGTTATATACATTATACATATACTCGTACATATATGTACATAAGAGTTTAAATAAAGTTTTCACATAGATACCTGTACATCTGGATGGTTAGCCAAAAGCATCATTGTAAACTGCAAAGCGTTAGCTGATGTATCATGGCCCTGTAAAGAAACAAAAAATTTAAATCGTAGCTTTTAATTGTAAATTTAAAACTTTTAAAACTTCTCGCTATTAGACATATAACAGAATTTTGACATTTCACTTAGATCTTTGTTTTCCACCCATCTAAAGCAAGTACTTTAAAAGTAAGTTCACTTTATCTATACATATAATAAAATTCTAACTAAGCCGAATCTGTACATTAAATATTTTTTGGAAAATCTTATTGAAATAGACATTATTATCGATACAGAGTCCGAATCTATGGTTTATGGAATTTTTGTCTGTCTGTCTGTTACCGCATCACGAGAAAACCACTGGACAGATTTTGATGCTATTTGGTATGATGATCCGGATCAATATATAGGATACTTTTTACCGCGGGAAAATATCTCATTTCTGAGAAAAAATACAAAAACTGCATTGTAAGAGTATACTCCTCGTAATATGTAAAGCCTAAGAATTTGGTTTTTGGTCACCTGAACGCGGGCGCAACCGCGGGCAGTGCTAGTGTAAATAAAAATAACGCTATTAGATGATATTTGACCACGAAATGCGCAAAAACCTCTTTTCTCAGGTTAAGGCAATGTTCTTTTTACACTTACATTAGTATAAAAATATAAATCTTTGCGTGATATCTCTGTTAAATTTAAGCTTATAGTTTTATATTCATTTATTGCATTCAGCATAGCGTTATATGACAGTAGACTATGTCATATAGTATAGATATTTCAAAATATACAACTTTCACTCACTCCAAACATAAATGTATCAACTTCTTCACCAATTCCTTGTGAATCGATTGCGCCATCCTTCTCAGCCTTTATCAGAAGATCTAACATAGCCATCTTCTTTTTCTCATTTAAATGAACATTTTCTTCGTTATCAGCATTTAATTCATCGACGAAATGCATATTTATGGTATCATTACGATTTCGTCTTTTTTCTATAACTCGATTACGAAAAGAAGTGAGATTGTTAAGTATTTGTTTTTGTTTACGTCCAATTTTAGTCAAATTGAAAATAAAACTTGGGTACATCCAGACCCTCTGTGCCCGGTAAACTGCATATTGTCCGATCTTATATATACTATCTTTATATAGTTTCCCAAAGTTCGTAGATTCTTCATCCAGTTTTGTGCCCATGGCAGTTTCTGAAAATAAAAGAAACATCTACTATATTATCGCGTAGTGGAGAGTGTTAGATCATTACACAAAAAAATGGCACGTCTGAAGCATGCTTTATACATCCTTATAGAAAAGATTCGCGAATACTAGAATGTTTTTAGTTTATGCATATAAAATGGCCGGCAGTGTGTCGTGAGACCAGTTGAATTTTGGAGCTAAAAGAAAACTGAGAAGAAATACAAAAAAGTGGAAAAATGAGACAGAATAGAGAAACTAATGGTATAAAATAGTGCTAAGAGACTGAATTAAGCCAGAACTGTGCACGTAATGTGTGTTTTTGTAAACCACCATAAGGAACTCTTGTGAATTATAATTTTATATATATATATATATAATATAATAATTATGACTTTACTAAAATATTAATATAGGTACCTAAGCTATACATAAATGTGAAGTATTTCTAAGAATAAGATGTTCTCCCAGCCGATTCCGACCACGGGGGCCAATCTCAATGAGATTAGCCAACTGCGCAGAGAATATTATAGTGCTCAAGTGTACGCGCAGACACAAGTGCACTCTCTGTTCCTGTCACTCTCATACTCTGGGGGGACGACCACTCGATACGACCGGTGAGAGTTAAGGCGCAGGACCGACGGCTTTACGTGCTCTCCGAGGCACGGGGGTGAAACACCGCCAACTTCCCAACTCCGGGCTGTTACTGAGGCTTACTATAAAGGAAGACTCAATAATTAAACTTGGCCCGACCCGGGACTCGAACCCAGGACCTCCGGGTGTGCAGCTGTACATGCTAGCCACTACACCACCGACGCAATTCTAAGAATAACTAACCACATATCGAATTTAAAGCAAACTCATTTATGTAGGGTAAAATTCTCGTTTTTGTTTGATTTGCTTCTGCTTTTAGATTTTCAACGAACTTATCACAATTGTCTTCAATGACTCCTTTAAAATTTGTAAGAACGTTGAAATGAAAAGCTGGAGTTAGTAATTTTCTTCGTTGATGCCATTTGGGTCCTGCAAATAAAATATATAAACCTTAAAAGCTCAGAGTAAATAAACTGTTCTTTAATTCAATCAGAAAATATGTAAAACATTTTTTTTTATTCGAAAAATTATAAATAAATATAATATTTTCTAAGAGAATGGAATCTTTTTTAACTAAATTGTTAACTAAATAATGTTTAAATTGGAATTTAAATTTAATATTTTCCATACAAAATTACAACGTAATCTAATTATTTAACGATACTCACCATTACTAATTAATAAGCCGCTTTTCAACCACGGTTCTATAAAATCATATACATAACCTTTCGTATTATGCCGAGTACCACTAAGAACAGTCTGCAAGTAAATAAAGAATGGCAAGACTAAGTAAGAAATAAGAAAATTTCAAATTATAACTTTATACAATGTTTTTACCTCGATGTCTACTGGATTGTGTATAATAACTACCTTCACGGGTCCAAATTTTAATTTAAATAACCTTTTGTATCTATTACATAAGTGTCTGAAGTAGTAGAACATTTTAACTAAAACAAAAATAAGTTGCGGTCAGAAGACACAAATTTGCTTGAACAATAACTATTTTTGTACAATAATAATTTACCAATAATTTTATTCAAATTCTTGTATCAAATTAAAGTACTTATTCTTCACTTTTATATTATTGGAATGTCTTTTTTCTCAATTTACAGCAATATATAATCTATACTTATCTATACTAATATTATAAAGAGGTAAAGTTTGTGACTTTGTGACGTTGTAGGGGGTAATCTCGAATAGATAATTATATAATATGATAGAATTTTTGTCTGTCTGTCTATCTGTTTGTTACCGTATCACAGAAAAACCACGGGAGGGATTTAGATGAAATTTGGTAAGAAGATAATTTGAGACCCTGGAAAGGACATAGGATACTTTTGTCCTGGAAAACTACATTTTTTTAAAACACATGGCGACATCTATTGACGAATATCTAAATAACACATAAACAAATTTATTAAAATAACTATTTTAATAAGTAAAATAGCTATTGATAATTTGATTTTCAAGATAAGCTATTTTTAAAAGTTTTTACCATATTTAGTAAGTTAACTTGCTAAAATGTTTTTCATATCATCATAGTTTTATACTAACCAGTTTTTGTATTTTTCTCAAAAATGAGATATTTTCCTGCGGTATCTTATATGCTGACCCGGATAACCAGCTATCATCAAACCAAATTTCATAAAAATCCCTCCCGTGGTGTTTCTGTGATACGGTAACAGACAGATAGACGGACAGACAAAAATTCTAAAAACTATAGATTTGGCTTCTGTAACGATATTAATGTCTATTACAATAAGATTTTCCAAAAAAATATTTAATGTACCGATTCGGCTTAGTTACTATTTAATTATGTATATATACTAGCGGACCCGACAGACGTTGTCCTGTCTACACGTCTTTAATTTGAAAATTTCAAACTTTTTTTAATAATTTTTTTGATGAAAATTATTATTCAAATTGTGAATCTAAACCATTCCCAGATCTCCTTGAACACACACAAAAAATTTCATCAAAATCGGTCCAGTCGTTTGAGAGAAGTTCAGTGACATACACACTCACAGAAGAATTATATATATAAAGATAGATAGATGTCAAATATTCACGTAGAATGATAAGAGAAGAAAGTATTATATTAAATCTAAATTATTATTCCTTGAATTAAAATTAGTGTTCTTTTTTGGTTCTTGTTGATACTAAAAAACTAATTTGATTTTAAAATAGTTTTAGAATAGACTATAAATTTATTAACGCCTCCGTGGTTAGTTTCCGGGAAATCAATTGTTAACTGACATGTCGGCGTATCCGCTACCCTATAAGCGTGTGCATTATATTCATATTGGCGAAAATGCGACTGAAAAAAAATATTGGTACAAATAATGACAAACCTGGATCCATTACAAGTTCTAAAGTGTTGTTAAGCAAGAAAATTCCCGGTGGTCCAGGAATTTTATCGAATTCCTTGTTTCGTGTCATACAATACAAAGTTACCAAAAATAATAATAAGAACTCTAATACCAGAACCATTTTAGCTATTTCACTTCTTTTACCCTTTGATAGATACTTTACACTTTTTAGTTGAACATAATTTAAATGTACCGCTAGACGTCACTCGTGTAAAACTTGACGGTGAAAATGACCAGTCTTTTGCAGAAGTTCCATATATAACTTACGAGTTAGTAAGATAATAGTCGCAGCAATAAAGATCGGTTTTGATTATTTTTACTATTTCGACGACACGTTTGGTTCAGTTTGTATAGACTGCTACTTGCTGTGCCAGCGATCGCAGGTTCGAGTCCCGCTGGGGGCATTCATTTGTGTGATGAGCACGATGTTTGTACACCAGTCATGGGTGTTCATATTTATAATATGTATATATTTAAAAGTTATATCTGTATAGTGTATCAACTATCCTGGTATCCATAACACAAGTCTCGTAGCTAACCATGGAAGTAGATGGTGCTGTGTGTTAATGTCCCAACATATTTATTATTTATTTATGTATTTTAATCGACTTCAAAAAAGAAGGAAGCAATCTATACGGTATATTTAGTTGACGTCAATTGTGGACCAATTTGCATTAGTTTTTTCTAAATCGGTAAATATCAAGAAAATTTCAACCTTGGGGTAAAATAATTTATGTTTAGGGGATTTTGAAGTAGGTATGTGTTTGTACGTCGTAAAAAGCAATGAGTTATTATTAGATAATATTATCTATAAAGAGTGTTTTTTTTTTCCACCATCATAACCATTTAAAACATGAATAATGTCTAAATTTTTACATGTTAAAATCCTTAAAATATTGCTTTTATGTATTAGACACATAATTATACTTTAGCCATTACATTATAACCATTCAGAACAAAATTTATTAAAATAAGTGTTTTTTAAACCATGTAAATATTTTTCTTGAAATATCGTAGAAAATATAGAGTTCTAACTCTATATACAATATATAGATACAATATATTACACATTGTTATTAAATATTATTCATATATTAATTTAAAGAAATTAGCAGCTTTGGCCTGAATTAAATTTATTCATCAATTTCTATTAAATTTTTATGAAAGAAATTGAGTGCTATATTTTTTTATTAAAAATAGTACTCAATTTCTGATGAAGACTGCACTATGGATTTTTCCATAAGCCATGCGTGATTTTAAATAATTTTCAGTGTCAATTCCATCGATATATAAATAAATAGATGCACAGTTTCGAGCAAATATTTCTTCAAAAAATGGCGTCAAAAAAAACAAAACACAAAAAAGTTCTGATTGTGTTAACACAAATTCGAACTTACGCATATGAAAACAATGTGCGTTACGTTTTTAAAACTTGTCGAAAAACAATCGCCTTCGAGAGTTACTCGTAGGAAGTATACATTGACGTTAGGAATGAATAATAAAATTTATTGTATTGGCTTTCACTATTTAATATTATAAAATTGTTTTAAGGTAAAAATGAAATTCCATAGGGCATTTATTCCTATCAAATAAAATTCGAATAATGCGGTCTTTTTTGAGGACACTTTTGAAACGCTAATAATTATGTATCTCTTGAGTTTTTATATGTATATCAATGGTCAAGCCGTAGATACTGGTATAGGATCTTAATGTTTATAAGTCAAAATCTGATAATGTCATAACCATGACAACATAATATCAATATACCAACAATAAAAATGTATTCTCTCATAAATAAAAGTTACAATAAAAATAAGTGTGTAGTAAAATTAAAAAGCTTACGAGTAAATATTGTTTAAAAATAAGTTTCTCAATGAAACCATATCGGCGAAGTAATAAAGCGTTTATGCTTGAAGTAAGTTTTTATTTCATTAATTACATCTATACTAATATTATAAAGAGGAAAGATTTTTTGTTTGCTTGTACCGAGTAAACTCTGAAACTACTGAACCGATTTAGATGAAATTTGGTAAGAAGATAGCTTGAGACCCCGGGAAGGGCATAGGATAGTTTTTATCCCGAAAATCATTCCTTTAGGGGGGGTAAAAATGGGGATGAAAGTTTATATGGGAAAGCAAGCTAGGGACGAACGAACCCGAGCGAAGCGAAGCTGAGTCTCTAGTGATACATATTAGTTTACAAAATATATTTCTTAAATTATGTCTACCGCACTATCGACCTCTTCTTCTTAAACTACGCTACACTACTAAACGCACGCATGCATACGCATCCGTTAGGTACTTTACCCTTTAGCTTTTAGGTACAATTTTTTTTTTACAGTATATGACTTTATCATCGCAAATAAGTCACTAGGAAAATTACGAATTTCGTAGCAGCACTATTTTATTTAATTAAATTTAAGAGTTTTGTTATTTGTTCGATAATTGGTTGAAAAAAAAACTATATTGCTAAAAATCTATATAACCTGATTCATAACATAAGATTATGGTTGTTTCTTTTATATGGACACAAAAAGACTCGCAGATATTTATCACAAATCGACAACAGTCGAACGATGAAAAATATGTTATTTTTTCCGATTATTATCGAACGAATAGACTTAGTAAATTTAAATGGCTATTGGTAAAAACTATCGACAACTATCTCTCTAATAATACATTTAATATCAAACTTTGTGTTTACTTTGTTATAATTGAGATTTACGTAAAGGAAATTAATTGCATAACAAATTTGAACCGTTTTTCCAGAATTTTTCCTTAACATATTAAGATTTCCTTAAAATAAAAAGTAAAGTACGTTTTAAAAAAATACCCAAATTTGTGCACAATACAGCGGCCTGTAACCTGTAAACCTGTAGATAGATAGATAGATACTTTATTGTAGATACAAGAGAAGAGTACAGAAGAATAACAAAAAGGCATGCATAGGCGGTGTTATTGCTATGACCAATCTCTTAGAGACAACCTTTGGTGAAAGGATTAGTGGAACCGTAGACGGGACGGTACAATTCATACTAAATACAAGCATGATAAACTACGTTTACAAATATAAATACATACATATAGATACATAAATACATACTTAAGATGTAGTATATATATACACTCAATAACTAAAAAGATACATAATAATTAATGAGACGACGTGACTCTGTACCTAATTAATACTAAATGTAATAAATAGACAGTGAGTTATGCTCTTATCATTAATAAGGATTTACGACATTTTTATTTTACCTATAAAAAGCATAGTAAAAAATAATTTTAAGTTAACTGCTGTTTTATCCTTGAAAAAATATTTTTATTAGAGTTATTTCTCTAACAAATTGAAGGCATTAAACATAATAGCATCATAACAATATTAAGTTAAAATACAAATAAATAATAGTCATTTTTATTTTAATATCCATACTAATATTATAAATGTGAAAGTGTTTGTTTGTTTGTTTGTTTGTTTGTCCTTCTTTCACGTCGAAACGGAGCGACGGATTCGCGTGATTTTTTGTGTAGAGATAGTTGGAGGGCTGGAGAGTGACATAGGCTACATTTTACCGCGGGAGATTATATAATTTCCACGGGAAAACACGTTATAGTACAATAAAAAAAATGATGACCAAAATTACTTGAAACTTGGTATTAATGCTCTTCAATAAAAATAAATATATAGGTGTTTTAGCATTTTTCGAAATTCATCCTATAAGATCTATACCGGAGAAGGTACCCCAAAGAAAATAAAAACTGTTCGGTGGGTAAAGTGATGGCTACTTTTTGGGATAGTCAATGAGTCATATACATAATTTTTTTGGAAAAAGGCAGGACAATAGTCTTACTACGCTGTATTGTTAGATACGTTGATTAATTAGTTGGTTAATAAAACGATCCCACCTAACAAGGAAAGAAAAAAATCTTTTTCACCGAGATAATGCTCAAGCACTTGTCTGCAATCACGTCAAAATAAGTTGAATATAGTTATAACTAAATCTGTTGTTAGTTTACAAAATATATTTATTATTTTACAGTTCCGGTCGGCTAATAGTCTGGGGCGTGCCCGTCTCTTACTGGTCGAATTCGGCAAAGACGTATTCTCTTTGTGGCGATACGGAGCACCTTTTCCTACATTTCTTAAACTTATTGGAACTTTACTTCTGTGTCTTATTGCGATCCTGCCGCTGCTTTATCCCCTCTTCGTCTTTGCCTTCACATATTTTACATATGAAAGTCTTTACCTAAGGTATTTTCGCACCATATACATATTCATAGAAATAGTAAATAATGAGCCAATGAGAATTTACCGACTTTGCTTATTTAACTTTAGAAAAATTTATAATCGTAGTAAGACAAATGTAATCATATAAAAAGCAAAAAGTTTCATGCAAAACGGGTCCAGTAATTATAGCTTCTTTTTTAAACTTAAACCATATTACTCAATACAATATATAGATACAATATAATAATTGCCTATGGCAATTTTCCTAGGGCTCTTACATTTATATAGATTATTCTAAATAAATATAGGTATTCTATAGAATATATATGTACATATTATGTATATTATTATTATTAAGCTTCAATGTCTGATTTTCTTTGTTTTATAAATTACTTACTATAAGATTCTCGGTTTCTCCATAATTTCTTTTAATCGCGTTAACGTTCTTAAGATTGTCAATTGGCCGAGCCAGAACAAACCTTGAGGATTGTAAAATATCAATACGTGGCGCGAGTAGGTTTAAAAAAAATGCTATCTGTTTCGCTCGCTCGCTTTGCCAACCCGTATGGTGCGATAGAGAGAATTGCAAGTCTTAGCGGCAATTACCTACATTTCCTTTTTGAAATATTGTTTCGGGCGATAACGTTTTCACCCCTCCAAACCCCCCTCATCCCCTCACCCACCTCCCCCCGCCCCCTAAACATTTACGAAATGAGACAATTTTGGTTTCATTAGATTCAGTACACCTTAATCTAGGTCTGTACGTTTTTCTTTTTTTTAGTAATTCAGTTTAGTTTAATTAAAAAAAAAACAAAACGCTGAGGAAGTTTTTAAATCCAAAATATAGATATTTAGATGCTAATAGCTTCTATTGTACGCAATATTTCTTTATAATAAAAACTTTTGGACCTACTTTTTCATTATATCTACAACATTTCCAAAAATTATAAAAATTAGACTATGTTTATGGGGGGAAAAACGTTATCGCTTTTTGTATGAAAATTTACAGCTTCACAATACTCTTAACCGGCGCAATATATGTGAACTCGTTAGTAAGTGCCATTGTATGAAACTTTATCTATGTATTGTATTTTCTCATATGCTTAAGCCTTAAATGGTAATGTACTATTACTGTAATCTATACATATAATAAAATTTTAACGAAGCAGAATCTGTACATTAATTTTTTTTTAAAATCTTATCGAAATAGCCATTATTATCTATACAGAGGCCGAATCTTTAGTTTTCAGAATTTTTGTCTGTCTGTCTGTCTGACTGTTACCACATCACGAGGAAACTACTGGACAGATTTTGATGAAATTTGGTATGGTGATAGCTGGTTATCCAGGTCAACATGTAGGATACTTTTTACCGCGGGAAAATGTCTCATTTCTGAGAAAAAATAAAAAACTGCAATGTAAGAGTATACTGATATGTAAAACCTAAGAATTTGGTTTTTGGTCATCTGAACGTGGGCAGAGCCGCGGGCAATGCTAGTGTGGAAAATAAAAACGTCTTTCAGTTGGTGGCTTAACGAACCCAGGCGCTTTCTGCCATATGGCATATTCCAGCGCATACTCTGTCTTACATTCCAACCCTGTAATCAAGCCGATGTATGGAAGGTTCGAGAAGTTCTCACCCGTGGTATTCTTCTTACTCATTCGCTCGCCACCTCCGTGGACTACCTCTGCGTCATGCAGGGATTACTTGATGAAACATAAAGGTAACGTAACTATAGATATATATATATATATATATATTCATGTTTCTCATTTTCAGGTTAATTTTCAATATGTTAGGTAATGAGTATTGTTATCGAGCACCCGACATTGTTTGGTTAATGGCACCAAAACTAACTTTGTTTGCCTACAACGCCTGACGTATGTGCCGTTTTTAACCAACTTCCAAAAAGGAGGAGGTTCTCAATTCGTCGGAATCTCTTTTTTATGTATGTTCACCGATTACTCGAAGACGCCTGAAGTGATTTGGATTTTTTTTTGTTTCAAAGGGTTCTACTTCCCAGGTGGTCCGATTAAAATTTTATCGTAATCGGTTGAGCGGTTTTTTAAAAATCAACAATTTTTTTTTAATAAATTGCTTTTCGAATATGTTATTAAAAAGCTTTCGTTATTATTACGTCTACACTAAAAATGGAACAATAAAAACTAAAAAAAACCGACTTCCAGGCACTAAAATGTAAAGAATAACTAAACGGAGGTTTTCATTTAGAATAAATACTTACTAATCAGATATAGCCAGCGTTAGCCATGTAAGCGCACGAAAAGGTTTTACAAACCACCGTCAAAGTTCATCTTTTATCTATCTATACTTATTATAAAAATAAGTCCCCCGGCCGCGTCTTTCTGTCCTCCTGTCTGTCCTCCTGTCTGTCCTCCTGTCTGTCTGAACGCGATAAACTCGAAAACTACTGAACGGATTTTTATACGGTTTTCAACAATAGAAAGAGTAATTCTTGAGGAAGGTTTAGGTATATAATTTATTATGCTTTTATGTAAATTAGCTGAAATACGGCGACAAATGTTGAAGAGGTCGCAAAAATCTCGCCAAATGGGAACTTTCCACGCGAACGCCGCGTAAACTAGCAAAGATACAGTTAAGTAATGTACTAGAGAATTCAAAATCTATAAAAATGCTACAAAAAAGTCCGCGATAGCATATCTCTATCTCTTACGGTTGACTTACAATAACCACTTTTATGTTAACATGTTTAATTAAAAACATTACGTTATTTTCAAAGTTATTTTCTTTAGTTCGGTATTAATCCTTATCCAAATGAATATTTTAGTTAGCTTAGTCATTTAATGCAGATTAAAATTGCTCTTTACACTAAATCAATCAGATGAATAGTTTTTGAGATATCGTTGTTAGAAGTAATTAGTAGCGAAACATTTTTAATGCTTGGCGAGCATTGAGATGCCTACGGCGAGTCCATCCCCTCTGCCCCGCATCGCTCGACCGCCTGCTCAAGCTATATAAACCGGGCGATGTAGCGCGCGATCCTAGGATACTTTTTACCGCGGGAAAATATCTTATTTCTGAGGAAAAATACAAAAACTGCAATGTAAGAGTATACTAATATGTAACACCTAAGAATTTAGTTTTTGGTCATCTGAACGCGGGCGGAGCCGCGGGCAATGCTAGTAAAATATATAAAAATTATTATATACTATATATATATAATTATTATATCTCGTTTATCGATCATTGTATTAGAGAAAACTGTACCTAAACCTGTCGGGTGGTTTAGAAGAAGTAAGTGGATAAACAGACAGACGCCGACACTGACTTTGTTTTCTCCTACAAACAGACAGATACATACCTATATGTATGTAGATCAGCGACTTGCACCCGAACTAAATTTTGCATTTTCTCATGAAAGTGGAAAATTTTACCGCACTAAATGCTAACTATATTAATCGTAAGCCTGCTACTAATAGTTTTAGTGTAATAATTAATTGATTTTTTTGTATGAAAGACATATCAGCCGATCACTTATTGTGTACAAAAGATTTTTCTGTAGTAAAAAGTATCCTAAATGTTGACACGAGATATCACTACACAAAAGTTATTTAAAATCGGTTTAGTACTTTTTGCATCAAATGCGCACAGATAATACAGAAAAAAAAAGACATACAGACAAACAGACATAAATTTTAATAACTATTGTTTCGGGGTCTATATTCTCTACATAATACGTTACAGTAATTGTTTTAAAAAATATTTCACGTACAGATTTCTCTTATATGTATTTCTATTATGTACCTATTATATAAAAATAAAATCTACACAATAAAATTATTACTAAGCCGCATCTGTACATTATACACATACATTAGTAATAATTATAATTTAATAATTATAATTATTTTTATTGTTTTTACATAATTTCACAAAAACCTTTTATAATAATATACTTATTCTTATTCCTTTCATATATAGGAATAGACTTAAAATTTCGTCCTTGTAGGCTGTAGGTCCAGACGGTTGGAATAGGCGATGATATTATAAAATCAGTTAGTCATACTTAGTTTATATATGTAAAATTTGATTGATAAGTTTACTACACACTATATATAGATATATGTTTTGACATTATCTTTTTCAAAATTGACAACTATAGCCAACCACTTAAGATTACCGCATAACGGGAGGTACAGTGTCTAAATAAAGCTACGACAAACCAACAGTAGAGCGAAGTGACTCGTCATCGCTGCACGGCACTATGGCGACAACAATAATTGTTATCGCCCTTGTAACTCTCGCCCATTCGTAAGTACTGTTTGTTTATTCTACAATTACACGTAACATTACATACATTCATGCGTCACTACCACTCAAAAATCAACCATTCAGTAGTCGTGCGCAATAATTGAGTTTGCATTTTTTATGCAAATTTATTAGATACTTATTGCCAGACGTCCTTGTCATATAACTTGATTTTTATTCAAATCTTTGGTAAACTTTCTACAAAAATAGTAAATAATCTGCCGATATTATATTATCTGTATAAATATAAGTTATATTAAACCCACACATTTGCATGTAAGGATTGAAATATTATTATTTATTATTTATTTGATTCTTTTCTCATTCTCTCGTTTTATACTACACAGAAATTTTTGAAAATGTGTATGTACTATATATTGTTAGTTCACTTTACGTATGTTAAGCAATAATATACATATTGATTTAGTATATGTATGTATGACTAATTTATCCTATAAGTACTTTTTTTGACCTAGATTTTCATATCAGTTTGCGTTCAGTTGTCCAAAATATATAGTACTTATTTATATACATAGTTTCAAATCATTCTATGATTGAGGTTCTAAGTATTTTTTTGGCATTGTACCAAACATAAAAGTTATGGCATTATAGCGTGATTGTCATTGCCGCCAGTGGAGGTCGCCAAAGACTAAGGAAGGATACCTAACACGGGGTCGCCGATTCCTTTACCGCATCGCAAATATTATTACAGTGTGCAAATTATTATTGTTCCGACCTTGCTTAGGCAATATTTTAATATTGACAGAGAACTAAAACAAGGAATAATGTGAAAAAAGTATTTTCTCTTTAATCTTATATCTTTAAACGAACTATATATGTATACAGGATGGATTTTTGAGACGGGACAGTAAGGGCAGGTACCTTAACTGCTTGTTGCAGTGAGTGCGAAAGCGATCCTGCACGCCCCATTGCACTGCGGCGAAGGGTTCCGCTGTGGGTTTTAGTGAGTAGGAGTCTCACAGTACCCTGCCCATAACGGCGGCAGGGTCCCCATGATGGGTTTCCCCAGCGAAAACAAAGAAAAAAAAAAGGTACCTTAACTGCTATAGTTACAGGAAAACGTTCCTAGGAGACCATCCATAACTTTTTGAGATATTCTGAACTGCAAGGTTCTGTGCTGTCTCCAATGACTCCAATGACAATGACTTGCTGTCTATTGATGGCATTCATTGCTATGCGGACGACAGCACTGGAGACGCTTTCTACACAGGCCGTGCAAACATCCCTCGCTCCGCTGTGGTAGAAAGTCGCGAACAACTTGTGTCTCAAATCGAGAGTATTCTTTCCAGAGTCTCCAATTGGGGTCGGGACAATTTAGTCCAATTTAACCCCTCCAAGACACAAGTTTGTGCGTTCATCGCTAAGAAAACCCCATTTACTGTGGCCCCTCAATTCCAGGACATACCCCTAACCATCTCCAACAGTATTGGTATTCTTGGTGTCGACATATCCAGCGACGTCCAGTTCCGAAGTCACCTGGAAGACAAGATCAAGCTGGCATCCAAAAAGCTAGGTGTGCTTAATAGAGCGAAGCGGTACTTCACGCCGGGACAAAGACTGCTTTTATATAAATCGCAAGTCCGTCCCCATATGGAGTACTGCTCACATCTCTGGGCGGGAGCACCAGCATACCAGCTTGGGCCTTTTGACTCGGTTCAGAGGAGAGCTGTGAGAATTGTCGACGACCCAATACTTACAAGCGATATATCGCTCGCCATCGACAGCGAGTTCATGCTCACACATTGCAGCCCAAATGGTCCCGTACAGTTCGGTTTCAGAGGAATTTTCTCCCACGGACCATCTCGCTGTGGAATGAACTCCCTGCCGAGGTTTTCCCAGAGGGCTATAGTATGGGGTCCTTCAAAAGGGGAGTAAATAGGTTCTTAAAGGGTCGGCAACGCACATGTGATGCCCCAGGTGTTGCAGGCGTCCATAGGCTGCGGTAACCGCTTGCCATCAGGCGGGCCGCATGCCTGATTGCCACCGACGTGGTATAAAAAAAAACATCGCCATAAACTATTCCCATACATTTTGTACGGAAAAACGATTAATCAACTCGAAATATTCTATAAATAAAAAATAAAAAAATAAAAATAGTTTTTATTGCTTAATCATTTATAACATTTTTTGTGTTCGAGTCTTCCCAGTAAGTAATCCGGAGGATACTTGTGTTGGGAATGGCCCGCTTCTTCCCATATGCATAATCTATGATTAAGTTAGGATTATTGCATGTACAGTTTTACTAATGTTAATTTATTATGTTTGGAAAATTACTATTTAAAAAAAAAAATGTAAGTACATGTGAGTAGAACACCAAAATATAAACAAAGTCATTAGTATGCTAGTTTTCAATAACAGTATTCTTTGTTACCAAACGGTTTTATTCTTTGAAGCCAGTTAACCTTACTGACAGAAAATCAAACCGATAGTTAAACTTACTGGTAGTTAAAATAACTGACAGTTAAACTTACTAGCCGTTAATAAAACTGACAGTTAGTCTTACCGACACTTACATTGTTGACAGTTAAACAGGCCAAGGCACAATATTTACAATCTTAGGTGTCCGGGTTCGAATCCCGGTCGGATACAAAGGTATAATGTATTTTTCTGTTTTTTTTTTGTATTTATTCAAGTTTTTAGTTAATTTAAGGAAAATTGTACTTTTGATCAAAAACTCCGAGGGAAACTCGGTAGCCCAGGCACTATACCTAAAATGAAATAAATTTAAGTACTGGGTACATTTTAATTGTAATAGGATGCAATTTATCCTTCTGGCCTTATTGCCACTATTATACAACATATTAGTAAAGGGGTATTAATTATATTAAAGTATGTGCTTCAGGGAGTTCAGTAAGTATCAGAAATAAATTTGGGATAATAATCTTTCTCTCTACTCTGTAAATTTTGTTGTTTATGTTCTACGGCAAAAATAAGGAAACAATAATTTAGCTGTTTCTTTTAAAATCATTCATTAGGGTCTTCGAAAACAATCAAATTAAAAAAAATCAAATAAAAAATTTAAAAAACCCACGACATTAAAGCGTAACCGCTATTAATAATAATCTAAACATAAATATAATAAAATTCTAACCGAGTCGAAATGGACATTTTTTTGAGAATCTATAGTTTTTAGAATTTCTGTCTGGCTGTCCGTTTGTCTGTATGTCTGTCTGTCTGTTACCTACCGCATGACGAAAAAACTACTGAGCAGATTATGATGAAATTTGGTATGATGATAGCTGGTTATCCGGGTCAACATATATAATACTTTTTACTGCGGGAAAATATCTCATCTCTGAGAAATCTATACTAAACGCTAAAACGTAACTAGGGACAAACCCAAGCGGAACGAGGGTGAGAGTATTCTATATTATGCTTTTATAAATAAATAATTTTATTTTTATTTTATTTATTTAGGTACAGAAACAGAAAACAAATTAAAAAAATTACATCTTCGTATTAAAAACTAAAAATATCATATTAAATTTGTCCTCCAATTATGTCTGTACACAACATTCAAATGAAAACATATAATAATTATATAAAGAAACTTAACCAAAAAAGTGAATTAATACAGTATGAGTCTGTGCATTTAAAGTAACGAGTAGGTACATAAGAAATATTAAAAAAACAAAAACAAAATAATATTTACATTTCATGTGGAAAAAAAAGACAAAGAAAAGAAAAAAAGATAAAGGAGAAGAAACAGAGAGAAAATATATCTTTATTATCGTAAATGTAAAGTAAGAACTATAATTTATTTAATTTTTTCTTGAACGATAATAAACTATTATTAAAAATGTCGTATTCATCATTTAAACTATTGTATGTTTTACACATTCTGTGTAAAGGGTTGTTTTGGGGAACGTTATTACTTGCCGAAGGTATATTAAAAAGTTGTGGCTGACGAATCGAGTGAGTATGAATTTTAAATTCCAGTTTTTCTAGTAATTTACTGTTGAAATCGCCATTGGCTATTTTATGGAGGATACATAAATCTGACATAACACGCCGATCTTCCAGGCTTTTTAGTTTGTATTTATGAAGTCTGTCAGTGTAAGTTGGTAATTCATTAATTAATTATAATTAATTCAATATATAGATAAATAACTACTACATACATTATATTATACATACTTTAATGTCGTGGGTTCTTAAAATGTTAAATATGTTTTATTTGTGGCTTTTTTTTAATTTTAGTAGTAAATGCAATATATTTATTTAAATAAAATAACCATTTTGGGGAAATATGTGTATACTGTAGCGCTCTCTGGCGGTCTGTAACATTATAAAACTTAGCTAGGAACAAGCTCAAGAATGAAACTTATACAAAGCAAAAACCGTTTCTTACCCCAAATTCATATAATACCGTCTCCGTGGCCGTCCAAGGTAAAAAACACGTTTTATAACCTTAACCTAAATTGTTACAGAAAAAGTTAATTAGCATTTTTCATACTGAAGGCAAACAAGTTTCAGGAAATACGTAATGTTTTTTATGGTTACACACGTCTGATACACAACTAAATCATCTGTTATAGGATCTCTTCGTCTGTCTCAGTTTTTTACCATATTCTACTACTATTCTAATGCAATAGATAACTCTATTTCAGGTAGACCAATGATAATTATGAATAAATAAAATCCAATTTTAAAAATCAAACAAAAAAATTGAAAACTTTACAAAGTGCATCATATAGTATGACCATATAAAATACACTACAATCTACCATAATATAGTTTAGGTACACTTAATACACATGAAGCATGGAACAAGAAGATTAAGAAGCAAGTTTATATTTTTGAACCTCTGCTTAAGTCATGATGTTATTTCCTGTACAATATGTATTAAACTGTTAATGTTATGTTCTAAATCTGAATTTGGAACAGAAAATTATCAATAATTTAATTAATATTTAAGGGGATATGCACGCTATACAAAATTTCCTGAAGGATTTACATTTGGCGTTGCTACAGCCGCTCATCAGATAGAAGGAGCTTGGAATGTCAGTGGTAAGAATAATAGGCACAAATTCAGAATTGGGGACTTGGCCCCTAGCGGAGTGGGTGGTATTTCTGGATAAGGGACGTAATAGGGAGTCGAAATGTTAAATAAATTTTTTAATACAACAAAAGATTCAAAAGTTATTGAGACTTAAAGTTACAACATTTCCATACATTTTCATATATTTCTTTACCACCATTCGGAGTGGGTGGTATTTTTAGATAGGGGAGGTGACAGAGAGTCAAAATATATTAAAAATATTTGGAGGAAACGTACGACTAAAAAGTTATTGAGACTTAAAGTTATAACATATCTAACACATTTCCATACATTTCTTTACCTAAATAAGTGATTACAACAGATAAACATACCTTTAACGAATAGTACGCATCCTTTTTTATGTACATTACACATTTTCACAACAATTAATGCTTTATTGTATTTAATATTTTAATAATTTCACAACACAAACAAAATGATCTTACATTTTGACAAAAGCAAAACTGACACTTTGTTTTATATTACCGCTTAAATGACAACAGATTATATTTGATTATTTTTGCTTTTTCTGTTGGTAAAATATTAATATTAATAAATAAATAAATAAAAAGAAAAATATTATTTTCACTTTATAAATACATTTATAACTTTTTATTTGATTTATGTAAAATATATTGTTTTACAATTGTACATTTAGTAAAAAAAATCATTTTTTTATCTGTGAATATTTTTAATTATTTATTTATTATTCGTCATATCTGGGTTAGGTTAGGTTAGAACATTTAAGATTATTTATTTATTATTCCTCATATCTGGGTTAGGTTAGGTTAGAACATTTAAGATTATTTATTAATTATTCGTCATATCTTGGTTAGGTTAGGTTAGAACAGTTGCCACAACGCACGAGCCGAGCGAGCGAAGCGAGCGTGCCGCGGTAGCGGCCGGCGAGTGCCATAAATGACTAGAAAACTAGAAAATTCGAATTTCACGCAAAGTACAAATAAAGACAATCATCTGGAGATCATTTTGACAATTGAAAGTGACGTTTTGACTCCAAGTGTCTAAATGGTAGTAATGTCAAAATAATGTATGGAAATGTTATAACTTTAAGTCTCAATAACTTTTGACTCTTTTGTTGTATTAAAAAATTTATTTAACATTTCGACTCCCTATCACGTCCCTTATCCAGAAATACCACCCACTCCGCTAGGGGCCAAGTCCCCAATTCTAAACGGCCGCCGAATAATATATACATTATAATAATAACATTGTAACTAAGCCGAACCTGTACATTAAATATTTTTTGGAAAATCTTATTGAAATAAACATTATTATCGATACAGAGGCCGAATCTATAGTTTTTAGAATTTTTGTCTGTCTGTCTGTCTGTTACCGCATCACAGAAAAACCACTGGAGGGATTTTGATGAAATTTAGTATGATGATAGCTGGTTATCTGGGTCAACATATAGGATACTTTTTACTGCGGGAAAATATCTCATTTCTGAGAAAAAAATACAAAAACTACAAGGTAAGAGTATACTAATATGTAAAACCTAAGAATTTGGTTGTCGGTCATCTGAAGGTGGGCGGAGCCGCGGGCAATACTAGTGTTTAATATATGGCATAACATTGTTTTTTCAACAATCACTTATTCCATAATATCTTATCTTCTTTTCTAAGAGAGACTTACATCTGTCAAAATGTACTATCGTAAACACCAAATACACCCACGAAATACCTATCTATTTGATCCATATCATTGTCACGTTGATATCATCATATTAAACCTGTTAATAAAGAAAAACTTGTTTATTGTTACTATGTCATTTAAATAATACTTTTCTATAAGTACCTAATGTACATTTCTCGCTTTTATTTTAATTTTTATCGTTATCTTATTATCATGTTAATGGCTTATGTAGAAAAAATATAGATCTCAAATTAACTTTATGCAAAAGTTTGGTCCAATAACCGTAAAATTGAATTTAAAATGGTCCAACACCTCATTAATATCGGTTCAATAGGAAAAGACGTCGCATCGACTCATATGTTTGTATGTTACACATAAAAAAATCTTTTATAATTAAAAAAGCTCATTTTTGAAGTTTGTTAAAAACAATATCTTATATTGTGTTATAATGCTTAATTACTTATTTATACCTTTTTAATTTCTATTTTGTAATAAAAACGACGTTTTCATAGGTAAGTCGGAAAACGTTTGGGATCGCCTAACACACACGCGGCCATGGATGGTCGCTGATGGAACGAATGGTGACATTGCATGCGACTCTTATAACAGATACCAAGAGGACGTAGATGAGCTTGCATACCTTGGTGTGGACTTTTACAGATTTTCTTTATCATGGGCTAGGATATTGCCTACTGGCCGTGTTGACTATATAAACCCTGATGGTATTCGCTACTACCATGCTCTTCTAGATGCTTTGGCTGAAAAGAATATTGAACCACTGGTAATTACATATATGTATAATATCACAAATAAAATGTATTACTTATGTCGTATTTAAACCCACCATATTAATTTATTTTGTAATAGGCTACTTAATAATTTGAAATTTATATGTCATACTGTTATTAACTTCCTATATGTTTCTTTTTAATAATTGTACAATTATCTATATATTTTTCTGTACAGGTTACATTATTCCACTGGGACTTACCGCAAACACTCCAAGATCTAGGTGGTTGGGCTAATCCGAAAATGATTGATTATTTCCGTGATTATTCTGACTTGTGCTTCAGGGAATTCGGTGACAAGATCAAATCCTGGATAACATTCAATGAGCCTTATGAAATTTGCGAAGATGCATATGGTGATGATAAAAAAGCACCCGCTATCGAAAGTCATGGTGTTGGAAACTATTTATGCAGCGACACACTACTTAAGGCCCACGCTGAATCTTATCATTTATATAATGACACCTACAGACCTATTCAAAATGGAAGAATAATGATCTCTATCAACTCTATTTGGTACGAGCCGAGTGATCCTGAAAATTCAGAACAAGTTGCTCTAGCGGAAGTGGCTAATCAATTTAAAGTACGATTAATGTTATATCTATTTAACTTGTACATTAATTTCAAAATTAGTTTGATACAAAAGAAAAAGTATTTTTACGTAAAAAATAAATATAGGTGCATTAATCCCTCAACGACCGCGGACACGGCAGCGTTACTGTTAATAATAGATTTCTTAGAAATTTTATTAATTTCTTAAAAATTTACCTGGAGTTGTTAAGTAATATTATAATGTTTAACTTCTTTAGTTTGGATGGTTCGCGCACCCTGTTTTCACTGAGCAAGGTGGTTATCCCGCAGTCATGGTTGAGAATGTTGCGCAGCAAAGTCAAGCCGAAGGTCTTCCTAAATCACGTTTAGAACAGTTTGACGAATATTGGATTGAAAGGATTAAGGGCACATCAGACTTCCTCGGCATAAATCACTACACCACCCATTTGATCACCGGCCCCGGTGTAGATCCACTTGCAAAATCGCCATCCTGGCTTAAAGATATTGGAGCTATCACTTCATTAAAAGTTGGAGGGGACTCAGCTTCCGAATGGCTTAGAGTAAATATATCTTTATTTATTAAATTTATTTACAATAAAAATTTATTTTAAGGTACACAAACTATTCAAAATCATCTGTGCATAATAAGTCATATCATACGACTATTTTTTTAAACGTTTCATTATTTACATAAATTGTACAACGTACATTGCTAATTTATAAAATACTAGCAGAACCCGCGGCTTCGCTCGCGCTAAAACTACAGAAAAAACTCTAAGAAGGAAGGTTTCATACAAACTTTCATCCCCTATTTTACCGCTTTATAAGATGAATTTCGAAAAATGCTGAAACACGTATTTATTTATGTTGAAGTGCATTAATACCAATTTTCAAGTAATTCTGATCATAAACATTTTTTTAGGTTGTATTATAACGTGTTTTCCTGTGGGAATTAGATAACCTTTCGCGCTAAAAAGTACCCTATGTTACTCTCCAGCCCTTCAACTATCTCTACACAAAAAATTACGGCAACCCATCACTCCGTTTTGACGTGAAAGAAAGACAAACAAAGAAACAAACAAACAAACAAACAAACAAACAAACAAACAAACAAACAAACAAACACACTTTCACATTTATAATATTAGTATCGAATAACGATTCACCCTCGCTTCGCTCGAGTTCGTCCCTGGCTTGGTTCCTACCATTAACAACATACCCATTTTCATTCCCTTATGGGGATAATTTTTAATTTTTAAGGTGGTTCCTACGGGTTTTGCTAACTTATTGCGCTGGTGTAAAAGCTCCTACAATGACCCACCGATTTATATAACTGAAAACGGATGCTCTGATCGCGGCGCCTTACAAGATTATAGCAGAATTCAGTATTTGAATGTAAGTAACATTACTTACTACTAACTTGATTTAATTCCAGTATACATTGACAGCATAGAAGTCACCAACTGTTTGATTTGAAAAAAGTAATTTGTTGCTTTTTAAATAAATAAATATATATATATATATGAAAATTCATCTCGTAATTTATGCATACTAATATATTATAAGCAGGAACTCCTCCTTTTCTAAATAAGTAGTTCCAAGAATGTTCCATTTCAAATCTTAATTTCATAAAAATTAAAATGAATGTAGTAAGTATTATGTGTTCTTAATCTTTATAACGATTGTTCCAGGATTACCTTTCGGAAATCTTAAATGTTATCTACGATGATGATGTGAAAGTTCTTGGTTACACTTTATGGACGCTTATGGATAACTTTGAATGGCGTGCTGGATTTTCGTAAGTAACTAATTGAATTAGAATCATTATCTTAAAAGCGGCATATTTACTGTGGCTGAAGTTGCAGGTTCGATTATTGCGCATTTTAAATAATTGTGTTGGCCTTTTCGATATTGGTCCTTGTTACCATAAAAATAATATGAGACAATGGACTTATAAAAAGTTGTCTAGTAAATTAATGAAAAAAATCTAGTAATTTTTTTTTTGTTGAAATTTTGTAATCTTGACTTCCAGTAAATTATTAAATATCTTCGAATTGCATAGTATGGCTTACACATAGTTTAAATATACCATAGAAATGTTAGCAACTGGAATTAAGGATAATTAAAAAAATATATAAATATATAAAATATTATTAAATGCAATTTTTTAATATAACATTTTTCGAACAGTGAACGCTTCGGCTTATACTACGTAGACATTAATGACCCGGAACGCCCAAGAACACCTAAATTATCCGTAGAATATTACAAACAATTAATTGCGACAAGGGAGATCCCTCAAGACGACCGTTTCAAAGATCCCACTGTAAGTAATTCATAGTATTTTTGTATTATGAAGCATAGCATTTTACTAGCAACTGTAAATATTGTGTGTATACGTGTGTGTGTATACGTGTGTGTGTATACGTGTGTGTGTATGTGTGTTCGTTTCGTACGTAACTTGAACGACTCGATGCATTTTAACAAAGTTAGAGTCTACTGTGAATGTGGCTTAAGAATATATAAGACGTACATAATTATAGCGTTCTCACACACAAACGCATATAAAATTAGATATAATAGTAAATCAAAATTACGTAGCTGTATATTTCTTTAATTCTTCTAGCTTCTGCTTTTGGCTTCACTAGTGCATGTATGTACTAAGCAGCAACCACAAAGCTCTAACATACGCTTTTTATGGGACCGCATAGCACAAAAAGTTCATACTATAGTTTTAAATTTCATAGAACGATTCAAATAAAACTTGTATGTTTTTAGTCAGAATATTATTTAAATACAATGTCAACTCTTTATAACGAAACTCAATGGTTCGAGCATTTTTTTTTTCATAATAACGAATTTCCGTTATATCCAATGAATAGAGAAAAATAACCGCTAATGACAATAATATTTAATATCGGTGTTTTATTAAGTAATTAATAATTATTCTAAATACACATATATATGTAGTCTGTCTGTGTGGCTATTCCAGTATTTGTTTTGAATTTTATCCACGCATCATCCTCATGAAACATTGAGAATTCTTTTTTCTATTAGTTTAGCTGTGTCAAGATCTTGTTGAGCATTTGGTGGTAGTTCAGACTCGCCCATTTCATCATCTTTATTTCGTTTCTCCTTATTTTTCGATACAACATACATAACGTCTAAATATGAACGTATTTTTTCGTAATAGAGAATGACTGTTACGTTATAAAGAGAGTATTAATATATGACTTTGAAGGTAAGGCAACCAAATTGAAGTAATATCTAGAAGTTTCCATTATAACGTTAAAAATACAATAGTGTAAAAAATCATTGAAATTCGTTCATACTTGTGCAAGTGCGCTCCTAAAAAGGGATAAAAATCCCAAAAATATGTCTACGTAAGAATACGATGTATACTTCTATAAATTATTTTTTTAATCCAAGCCTAATTTTTTTATAAATTATAGATAAATAATCGACAAATTTTTATTTTTATTAGATATACAGCATTAATTAACAGATATGCTTATATCGATTTGATACATTATGTGTAACTTTTTATATAAGACAGATAAGAAATATCAAATTATAATGATGTATTTACCTATAATTAACCTCCTCAATTGCTTTATATGTATATATGTATTTATAATTTAACAGGTGAGACGAGGTATCTGAACATTGCTTAGGAACAGCTTGCGGCAAAAACCAAATTGTATGACATGATAATAAAATACTATATATAATAAAATATTAACAAATTAATTTTGCCTTTTTATAAACCTAATATTTTTTTATTTAATTACTAATCCATTAAAAAAACCTCGGCTACATTTGCTCATGCTTGTTATTTTTTATTCACGTCGTAATTTTTATCCACACAATATTATACTAAGTATTAAGTACACAGACATCGCTAATATTTATTTTATTTTTTTTATCTCTACACACTCTACATTTTATTTTATGAAGAGCTATTTTTTAAAGTCCAAATTCTTAAACAGGTGTGGCATATTTTTAAATACCATTCGTTGTACCTACTAAAAAATTGCTAACATTGATTCATAAGAAATCTTGATCATTAAATCAATTAATTATATAATTTTAATCAAATACGTATATTATTAAATATTTAAAAGTTCTCTAAGACATTATTACTTCGTATAAATTTTCATGGACAGATAATGAGACTCAATATGATCATTATGAATAGCGGCAAGTGCTTGAAAAGAGAAAATATGAACATGTCAAACTTTCAATAACTGTCATTTCGACCTTTTTCCAAAAAATCCTCATGTATACTAGAATAAAAGTTATATATGTGTGATATTGTGTATTTTTTACATTTGAAACATTTTGTAAGATGACAAACATTTATATTAATAAAAATGCCATCCACCATCTCTTTGCAAATCTAAAAATGTCAACAGTTTTAAGCATTGATATAATAAAATAACTAAGTATAGGTATATGAAAATATAACATTTTATACTTTTTTGATTGAATGAGATATATTGAAAAAAGAGCTATTGTAAATGAAGCAGTTGTTTATGAAATTGGACAAACAAAAGAACAGACAGTATAATTCTATACTTAAATACATATATTATTTTGTTTTTCTTATAGCGAATCTACAAAGTGGAACTGTAAAGGAATGGGATAACAATTGAAAACGATGATGGATATTAAAACAAATATTTATTTAGTTCATATAAGAATATCAAATTATGTACAATGAAATTATTGCAAATTAATTATAATGACATTCATAATTTCATTGCTATAACATTGATACACATTTATATACACTACAGAGAAAACTTGCGTGTGTCAGACTGAAAAGATATGTTTGTAAAATATAGACTATACTTAAGAAATAAACTATAATATAGTTTACACTTATTATATTGTTCCGAATATTATTCTGTGAGTTCAAGAGACGTGTCGCAAACGGTTAGCAAACATGGAATGTTTCTCATTATGTCATTGCAACGAAAACATAGTAGCTATTTATGTACACATCATAAATTTACAACTTTAAGTCTTATTTATAAAAAAAAAATATTTTTAAATTATATTTTGATGCGCGTTTTTCTAGGAAGAAAAGCAGTTTCTTATCTATACTAAGATATGACAGAAACCTTTGGTATTTTATTCAGTTAGAACAAGTAATAGCATAAGCAAATTTTAGATGATTAATCAATTGTAAAATTTTAATGAAAAATTTTCATGTGACATAGAATTTAATTTTGATATCTTTGGTAAACAAAGTTAATGTTTCATTCGACTCGCCCCTTATAATATATATACATACACACACAAATTCTTATATTTTAGCTCTATAATCTTACAGTTGTAGATTTATGCGTTGATACATTGTAGTCATCACATATAACCTCTACTATGCTTTCACAGGTGTTCACATAATGTAGTGCATGTTTTGTTTGTTACTTAAAGATAAATACAAAAACGCAGCTACATTAAAATATAAACAACGCTACAGATCAATACAAATTAATATCTAAAGGTAAGGATAAAGCAAATATAGAATAATGAACCGAACAATATGAAAAGCATCGTCACTTACGAGTATAATGCCCGATTTCACTAACAACCCATAAGCTACCACCTACGTATGGGATCCCTAGCTTAAAAGTCCCCTAAACTAGCCCCTAAATTAAATTTCGTTTTACCATCGTCAGAGCCCGTATTTCTAGCACCTATATTTAGGTGGCATTTTAATATTTAGGTGACCCCTAACTGTCGGTGAAATAGAAACTGTCCCCTAACAGCCCCCTAACTATGCTTAGGGGATCCCTTAAACTTGGGTGACGTTGGTGAAATCGGCCATAAGAATTACTAAACGACAAATACGAAATAAAATACGACGAAGGATCGACAGAATACAAAATAAAATGTATTATAAACCCAGCACCGTTACACCTAATTATAATAGTTACACAGTTGCTATTATTGCTATTTATTTATATAAATGAAAATTACAATAAATTCTTACAAGAATAAAGTACTTTCACTAATATGGCAAAGTTTTCAATGTAGTATTTTTAATTAAATTTTAGGCCTAATTTCAACATCATTTTTCAAACTAATTGAATTCATAAAAATTCTAAAGACTAGGTGGGCTACAACGCAATTTTTGAAAAGTTTTTTGTTATTAAAAAGAAGTTATTTGTATTAGAGGATAGAAAAATATGCCGTAATTCGCACTGCTACTTTAGTCTTAGTACATTTGAACATCGAGTACTTTCTCAGTTGTCGTCGAATGCAACGGACATTTATTGCACTTACAGCAAACACACGCACTAGCACTCTCACAGAAAGTATTCATATCTTAGAATATAAAAGCACTCTGCAACGGCAACTATGTGAGTACTGTATATTTTCTAAAGTTTCCTACCTAGCGGCACCCATGCACACGCAAATATATCGTACACTTCGTAATAATAATAGTGAACTTAAATAGTTGCCACAATAGCTAACTAGGCTGCGATCACCTATCTCTATCCTAAACATAATCTCGAAAAATACACAAGGACGGTGTAAGTAGACAAAACACGTTACTACGAAAAGTATAAGTAGTTTTATTTGATTCAACATTAATACATAAATCGATAGTTCGTTTATAAAAAGTGTAGAAATATATCAATCTTAATTTTAACACAATAAATAAATTGTATAAAGGCACAATAAGGCACAGTTACGTCAGGAAGTCATCACAATCTAAGTAACATCGATAAAATACAAATCGTCCTAATCAAATAACATCGTAAAGTTCAGAGGAAAGTAGGATTTCCAATAATCTAATTTTAAAGAGTACGGGAAACCTAGTTTGCCCAGTTTGCTTATTGCAAATCTGCCTCTTTCAGCGAAGAAAGAAGGTTTGCAACCGCCGCGGACTCTGAGCTCGGTTACCCAGTGCGGCGTCAACCTCGCTACACCACGTGACTAGCCGACACGCCTGGCCGTACACTCGCTTTACGCTCACATCTTTAATAGCACTCCTAGTTAAATTTAAAGGGATTTTACAAATAGAAATAAGTCAGACATTGTTTGATTAAATGGACGTTTTGGTATACAGAATGCTCGCATATTATCGAAAATACATAAAGTACAAACGTACAAATATGGAAGATACAAAAGTACATATTTATATGCATGCAAATTAGTGGCATAGCAGATGTTTAAGAATACTTATCATGCAGAATTTCGCATTCGTATCTCATTCCGATAAATGCCGAGACATGAAAACCAATTCTGAATAATAAGTGACCGGACCCCACCATACACTTATTCGTTATTTGACAAATTTTGAACGGTTACAATGATTTTAAAAAACAATGTTAAGCTTTAAACAAAAATCACACAAATCATACACGAATAATCCGATCATTTACACACGTTACGCTATTTTACTGTCATTTACTGAGTGAAATATACACCTTTACCGTTCATCGACACTCGGTAGAGTGGATGTCTGACGCGGTAAGTACTCTACAGTTATGATATAATACCTAATTTAAAGTTTGTGGGTTCGCGCGAGGCCGCGCGGCAACGTCGCCGAGTGGGGAGAGACAGCACCAACTTTACAGCCAGGTCAGCACGTTGTCGGGCTTGCTGGGCGTTGAGTTTATTAGTGACTGCACATCATCCAATAGTATGTCATTCGTGAATTCGCCCAACTGAAATTTAACAGAAAAAATCTTTATATTATTTGTATCGATTTAACGATATATTATAAAAAAATTTACATATTTTCGTTAAGCTTTGCCTTCGCGAATAAATATTGATTGTTTTACACGTTATGTCCTAATATATATGAACGTAATTAAGTACTTCATTATTATACTATATTTAGGCATTAATGAAAGTATTTAAATATTTATATTTAATTATTTAATAAATTAAATAAATTAATAAAATTTTAAGAGTATTTTTGCATAGCCGGTGCATAAAACAATCGTATTATATCAAAATCGAAATTTGACTGCTTAAAGAATGCATGAATAACCAATGAAAGCTTGCTCGCCTGGTTTGCATTCGTAGAAATATAACAAGGACAACAGTTGATAGGAATTCGACAAACCTTTAAAAGGTTTATAATTTATTAACTGGTAAGTTATGTTCAATTATTGAAATTTTTCATAACTTCATTAAAATTGCATTATGAAAATTAAATCGCTTTTGTATTATAATCTATTAAGTGATAGTGATGTGTGCACACATCCATATGTATTATGTACTAAACAAACAAAATTGTAGATGCACATACGACTTTTTTTACACTACGCAAAACATTAACAGAATTCCTTCATTAGACAACTTGATTTGAGTAGTGAATACAAAAATTAAAAAAAAAATATCTATACATATAATAAAATTATAAATAAGCCGAATCTGTACATAAGATGTTTTTTGGAAAATCTTATTGAAATAAACATTATTATCGATACATCGGCCGAAGCTACAGGTTTTAGAATTATTGTCTGTCTCTGAAAAACTACTGGAGGGAATTTGATGAAATTTGGTATTATGAGAGCATGTTATCCGGGTCAGCATGTAGGTTACTTTTTACTGCGGGAAAAAGTCTCATTTCTGAGAAAAAATACATAAACTGTAATGTAAGAGTATACTAATATGTAACACCTAAGAATTTGGCTTTTGGTCATCTGAATGCGGCCGGAGCCGCGGGCAATGTTAATATGAAATATAAATATTGACTTTGTCAAAAATGCTTATTGGTTTTATATCCCTTACTTAAAAAATAATTGATTCCCCATACATCATTTTACACAAATTTTCATCCCCTTAAGGTATGATTTCCGGGATAAAAACTATCCTATGTCCTTCCCAGGGTCTAAGACTACATTCGTACCAAATATCATCTAAATCGGTTCAGCGGGTTTTTAGTTAAATTTTGTTCTTTATGATAGTAGTAGGTATATAAGACATATCTATTCTATTAGCGATATTAATAATGTAGAATGTCGTGTTTCACCATCAAGAGATGCAACTTTATAGTTTTCTATAGTTTAAAAAACCTTTAACAGCAATGGCAAAAGTGCGAGCATGAATTAAAGTGATCGATGTCACACTAAAGAGTACTATTTACTTGTAATGAGGGTACCAAGTCGTCGGTGTCGCCGAGTGTGATGTCGGCGGTGTCGAGGTTCGCCCCCGCCTCGCTGGTGCAGTCCATGCGGTCGTCCATGCTCGTGAGGAAGTCCTCGGGCGTGTGCGGCATTGAGTAGGAGGACTGTGTGACCGCCATGCCGAGCCCGCTGTCCGCCGACTCCTGCCTCTGGTGGTCAGTCAGCCCCGACAGGAACGGATCCAGAGGCAAATCGGTGTTGGTCGCGCCCGTGTTGCTAGGCAACGACACCACGATAGGCGAAGATTGCCGCGCCATTAACCCTGACTGGAGAAATTTTCATGCATCTTGAGCTCATATATTTTTCGACGTATTGCTTTTATTTTACGGTGAGTGCGTTCGCGCTCACAAGTTACGGGCGGATTGCGAACTCATTTAATTGCTTTTACTTTATATAAAATACTTTTTATATATGGATACAATATTATTTTATTATTCATTTATTTTAATATAACATATTATAAGATGAAATTAACTTTATAATAGATATGGCTAATGAATTTTTATTGAAATTCTCAATTCTAAAATAATACTTAAGTTTTAAACGAAACCAAATTTAAAGAATATAACAAAAAAATTCAAAAATAATAACCTGGAGTAGTATCTCCTGTTGGCGTTGCTTCAGTCGTTCTCGTTCTAGCTGTAGCGACTGCAGACGTAGTTTTTGCTGACATGCCTGTATCGAGGCATTTGCCCAGCCGCCGCCCGCGGCGCCACCCGCCGCTGGGGTGCGCTGTAAGTGTTGTGCTGAAATCAGGAAAACATATGTTAGTAAAATATTCAAAAAATCATTTATTTCTAGCGTCTACACTATGGTAAAGTACTTACGTATTCGAGGATCAAACCAGGACGTTGTACGAGCGGCATGGTTGATAAAGTATATTTCTCCCTCTGGTGTCGTGGCTTGTTCCCAGCCATCCGGCAACGGCCCGAGAGGATCTGTCGTCGTATTAGTGCTTGTACTCTTCGCTGCTGAAATTAATTAGACGCGTTTGAGTTTATTGAAATGAACTTTAAACATGTTACTTAATAGCAAACGAGTTTTAATTCTCTCAACAGCGACTAGTTGCAAGCTAGCAGGTGATAGATACGAATGAACTGTGTATTAACGTTTAAATAGATGGAAATGAGATGGAAACGATGGAAGGTCACCGAGTTTATTCCGAGAAAATTGTCGCGCAATAATATCCAGTAGTCGTAGATGTTATTGTGCGTGTGTAACCAGAAAGTGATATTCAAAGGAAAGCAAAGGCTTTAAAACACTACACGTTCAACTGTCTGCAAAACATTTCCTCGTAATGTTTTCAATGTACTATAAACAGCATTTTCATTTTGAAATATACGGTTTCGTTTGGCCAGTTCGTACGGAGAATAAAATGAATCACCATGCAACGGATGCAACGCCAACTCACCCTCGCACATTCACGCTCATCTCGCGCTCTGAAGGTATGCGACACGTAACAAATGGATGGCCATTCATAAACAACAACCGTTATATAATTATTAGATATATATGTACATACATTTATATTTTGATCATTGATAGTTATAAAAGAACTTATATGTGTACTATAAAACGTATGAGGCAAGAGTAGGTATGTTATAGGTATTTAAAAATAATACAGTAACAAATCCAAATTTATTGTAGGTACATAGGTACGCAATGTATATTACTCCAGAAATAGATTTTTTTTGATTATTCAGAGCCGCGAGTATTTAATTAAGAAATTTAATTGAGAAATTATTAAGTAATAAATTGTAAAATAATCTGTATTTAAAGAATGAAAATTTCATCACGTAATGCTGAAGCTGTTTAATTACACATAACCTACAATAATATTTGATCAAAAGTGCAATATATCGAACATTTTACATATTTTATAAAATATTAACGAAATAAATACTCGTTTTAAATGCATAAAAGGCATGGTATGACATGATATAAGAAAGCAATATCTGATTAAAAATAAATTAAAAGAGTGCTAATTATTTAACTTGATGTTATGTAATAAGAGAACGGTTTCTTTTTTATATAAAAGGTATTTGTTTTGTACAAAAAATGCTCATAACTTGGAAATGTAATGCATCATGAGAAAACTATTTCATGTTTGAAAGGTAATATGTTATCGCGACATCAGATTATAATAGGAATGCGCTATAAAAACATTATTCGTATGTCAGGTGATCTACATAGTGGGATTGTTTGCGCCTTGTAATAAACCAACAGATAAGAGTATCTCACAGCACAGAACCTGCAGCTTACTCTATTTAGCGCCGTCAGAGATGATCATTGTCCCAGAACGTGACTAGAGCACGTATTGAAGTAAACTATCATATTAAAATGCACAATATGCCTCTACACGTGACTCTGTGGCGACTTCGATTTGGCCAACTGTCCTTGTTATGCTTCCGAATACTGTTTCGTTTTCAAAATACAATTTGAAAGTATATAACATGCCACGTAAGAAAAACAACATATAAGGCATTTGTAACCGAAGTTTATACTTTCGTAATCAGTAATGTTTTGATAATATGAACAGTCTTGGATTTTTGCTTGCCAAAGATTCACATCATAATATCATATTTTTGTGTTGTTTCTTTAGTTTGTATAGAATAAATGCCCTTTCTATGAGGTTTTTCCCAACGTCCGGTTTTAAATAGATAAGTTTTCTTGCCAAATAGTTACGAAACCAAACCTATTTTTCTCAATATGTTGATAACAAAATAGAAAAACGAATTCGAATAGTGTAAATTACCGAATTATTTATTTATTTGTAATAATTACTCTAAATAAATTAAAAATGATCAAATATAACACAGTTAAACGGCGACGCGATGGCATAAACGTGTTCAGTAGTGGCTGTAGAACCAAAGACCAAATAAAAGTAGGTAATGTGTAGAGATGTAGAGTTTAAGAGTGTAGACCATATCAACACAAATGTGTCGCAAGAGCGCTGAAAGCGGCGCCGCCAGGGCCGCTGTGCTGGCGCCGACTCACCAATGTATTTTACGAACACCTTTCAACGCTCGTCTCGCATCGACCGACGGAAACAACGCGTTAATTCCCGTCATAAAATCAGTTTTAGAATTGGGGTTATTTACTTGTTTTTATTTTAGATCCATGATAATTTTAAACGTCGCTCCGAAGCCAATTAGATCACGTGAAAACAAAATCGAGTAATATGTTTGCTTCTAAAACGTAATAAACTCACATTACACCTTTTACGCTTATTTTATTTAAAAAAAAATTAACGAGCGAAGTAATAACTCTTTGCATATTATTTGCAACGTACTATTTCTAGTCTTATTAAACTGTATATTGTAGAGTGTACTACAGAGTACCTATCACTAATTTATATAATCTGCAATTAAATTTAATAAAAAGTTAGCAAATTACCGCTTCTGTAATTTCTTTATCTTCCATCTTTATTTTACATGCAGCTATAGTTAAAACACGAAAATGTTTAGGTAATACTTTTATAAGATAATTGTTAGAAATCGGTTTAGTACCTAGTTTCTGGGATTACACCCTAGATTCAAACTTGAACAAACTTTACCTCTATAATATTAGTGCAGATAAGCAAAGGTACCTGTAGTTGCAGCAGCAACAGCAGCAATGGCAGGTGCAGCAGCTGGTGTAAGTAACGCTTCCGCGCTCTGGTGCTGCACACCACTTGTTACTGTCTGCGCCGCCAGTGTCTTGCGAGGATCCTCCCATGTCGTGGTCTTCGTTATATGACTGTAATGAAAACAAATCAAACGTCATTTAAATTCCAAAATAAGTTCTGTAAATCTATACATATAATAAAATTGTAACTAAGCCGAATCTGTACATTAAATATTTTTTGGAAAAGTTTATTGAAATATACATTATTATCGATACAGAGGCCGAATCTATAGTTTTTAGAATTTTTGTCTGTCTGTCTGTTACCGCATCACAGAAAAACCACTGGAGGGATTTTGATGAAATTTGGTATGGTGATAGCTGGCTATCCGGGTCAACATATAGGATACTTTTTACCGCGGGAAAATGTCTCATTTCTGAGACAAAATACAAAAATTGCAATGTAAGAATACATTAATATGTAAAAGCTAAAAATTTGCTTTTTGGTCATCTGAACGCGGGCGGAGCCGCGGGCAATGCTAGTGAAATATAAAATATATGTACTATATTCATGCTCTGGAAGTTGCAAGATAGACGGGAAAATCACTATATATTTATACGAAATATAAAAGAGAATGTTAAATTCGTATTAAATACGTATTCTATTTGATGGCCACACTTATTGCTTTAGCTAACATTACTTAACGCAAGCCAATAAAATAATATAGTAGTTGTGGTGAGCTTACAAATAACATATACAACATAACATCAGTCCCCAATTATTAACCCATCACTTCCATTAGGTTTCATAAAATATAATTAAATTTCAATAAGTACGTAGGTATGTACATAATTAACCTAAACAGCGAAGTTATTAGAATGTCCCGCAAATGAATAGGTACTAAATAAAGTAAACAAACCATCAAATGAAAAGATTTTCATACTAATATAGTAAAATAGTCTGTATAGGTATATACATTCGTTATACTCATTACAGTTTTAAATAATCTATACATATAATAAAAATGTAACTAAGTCGAATATGTACATTTAATATTTTTTGGAAAATCTAATTGAAATAGACATTATTATCGATACAGAGTCCGAATCTATAGTTTTTAGAATTTTTGTCTGTTTGTCTGTCTGTTACCGCATCACGAGAAAACCACTGGAAGAGTTTTGATGAAATTTGGTATGGTGATAGCTGGTTATCCGGGTCAACATATAGGATATTTTTTACCGAAAATATCTCATTTCTGAGAAAAAATACAAAAAGTGCAATGTAAGAGTATACTAATATATGAAACTTAAGAATTTGCTTTTTTTCATCTGAACAATAATAGTATGAAATATAACAATACAATTTGTAAATATAACAATTCAATGAATACATCATGTACCTACTCTACGCGACCAAAGTTGATGAATTTCCGAACTTTCGCCAAATCAGCAAGTTTTAAAATATCCAGTTAGCAAAAATTCGAACCTGCCAGACTACATTTCATTGGTATCAACTTGATTACCTTTATTTGGTGATTTAAAGTAAAGGACAAAATATCAGTAATTTTTTTTAAACATCTAACCTCTACAACTATTAATTATTAAATGTCTTATACTCGTAATATGATTATTTAATATATATAAAAAATAGTTGTTTTTTTTTTAATTCGAATGCAAAAATGGTTATCCAGGTCAACATATAGGGTACTTTTTACCGCGGGAAAATATCACATTTCTGAGAAAAGATACAAAAACTGCATAGTAAGAGTAAACTTATATGTAAAACCTAAGAATTTGCTTTTTGGTCATCTGAACACGAGCGGAGCCGCGGGCAATGCTAGTCCTTTGATATAATTAGTAATTCATTACATAACCAGCATAAATGTTTCGTATAAAAATGTATAGTTGGTAAGTGAGCATATTGCAAGAGCTGGTTGATTCTACGGTGGTAAAGTCACCTTGGGTGTTACACGCAGGCAATTTACAATAAAAGGCCGTTGGTAACAGACATGTGAGCCGTGCCTCCCTACTTAGCGGTCGATGTGACCAATTTGTAGGTAAACCGGACGTGGCGTTCGCGCTGGCGACCTAGTGAATAAGCAGTCACTCCGCCATGATGAATGGATCTTTTACTTTCTTTACACTTAAAGTAGGTAATCAAATATATATTGACTAAATTTTGCTCATTGATGCGAAATACACTCACTTCACGCATTATTCTACACATATTAGGTACATTTTGCAAAATTATGCAAGTTTTTGGTAGGTACGCTATACATCACAAAAATAATTGTAAAAGCTTAAAAAAAAGTCAACTTCAAAGAAAATACTAAAAATTAAAAAAGAAATTGATTGGTAGTTTTCATTTACTATAGATACCTAATCAGATATTTTCAAATTCGGTGTGCTTTGATTTGTATCGGCTGGCACCGACTACGAAAATATCTGATTAGGTATTTATAGTAAATGAATACTACCAATCAGTTTTTTTTTTACTTTTAAGTGTGTTTTTAAGTTTTTATTTTTCCATTTTTAGTGTAGACATAGTAGTAGAAAAGTAAGAAGAAAGTATTTTAAAAATTCATAGGTGAAAAATCAATCTCCTATTTTCTACAATTAGGGGTGGGTTTTTTTTAAATTTAAATGTTATCAAATTTAAATAATATCGCTCGGGTTCGTACCTAGCTTGCTTTCCAATACAAACTTTCATCCCCATGTTCATCCTCTTGAGCGATGATTTCCAGGATAAAAAATAACCTATGTCCTTCCCAGGGTCTCAAACTATTTTCTTACCAAATTTCATTTAAATCGGTTCAGTAGATCCGAAGATTACACTCTACAACCTGACAACCTCACAAACTCACAAACTTTACCTCCTTAGAATATTAGTATGGATGAAAGTGTACGTTGAAAAGATTGATTCAGTAAGTCCGGAGATATTTTTGTTATTATATAATGCTGAGGTTTATAAGATTGGGCAGTTGTGGACTAAATAGAGTTACAAAAGCGGACAAAGTCACATGCCTTGGCTAATGTAGATAAAATTATAAAATACTCTTTACAGTAAATTATGTAGCGATAGCCGCCAAACGACCTTACAAACTCACAAACTTTACCTCTTTATAATACATATTAGTATAGATGTATGTATTAGTATAGATTATCTGATTACTGCCTTTTTAAATTCTTTATCTTTCGGTTTTATTATACTACATGCAGTTATAGACGAAGGAGGAAAATATATTAATAATTAATAGGTTTATAAGTATATTGTTTAAACAATTTGCGATATGCGTTTTTTATTTATTTTTTACTTAATGATTTATTTTTTCTAAATAAATAAAAAAAATATATAATGCAGATATTATAGTTATTTAAAAGTGATTAGCACTAGCATAGTAATTCATAAATTAAAAAAAAGAGAAATGTCCATAAAGAGAAAGTATTTCATAGTGAGATCCATTGCAAAGAAATGAAAATAATGGTTTATAACATAACAAAAAGTAAAGATAAGGAAATGATTTAGTAATGGAAAGCGGCCGAGGGCATGACCACGATGAATCGATTTGCTCGGGGCGTTAATGAACTTGGCCGCGGTATCAGCTGTTGTCGATGTCGCGCTAACAAACTGTACTTACTGTAAACTGCGCTTGCGCACCTGCATCATTTTTATTATTGTTTTGTTTCTTATTTAAACGATTCTAAAAGAGCCTTATATATCTTGCCAAGCTACTTTACCATATATATTTACCGTATATGTATTTACGATTTCCTACTCAACCCGTCTCTACATAGTTGTGAGTGTAACATTTACAAGCAAATTACGTGTTTAATATTTATTTAGCATTTTAATTTAATGATAATTTAATGAAAATACTATCAGTAGGAAACTAAAGGAGTAATAAAATGGAAATATTAACAATACAGAAGTACTTGAAAATCAAAAGTGACATAGGTAGGTATTAGGTGGATGAGAAAAACAAATAAGATTTTCTTAGAAATGCTTATACATATGTATTTGGAGCAAAAGCAAACGATTCTTTTGCTAACTAATAGTATTTGGCAGATAAAGCCTGAAAGTACTAAATTACTATTATAAGTTTTTATCTACCGAATTATAAGGTACACCATAAGTAAACGACTTCTATACATATAATAAAATTGTAACTAAGCGGAATCAGTACATTAGATATTTTTTTGGAACATCTTATTGAAATCGACATTATTATCGATACAGAGTCCGAATCTTTAGATTTTAGAATTTTTGTCGGTCTGTCTGTCTGTCTGTTACCGCATCACAGAAAAACCACTGGAGGGATTGTGATGAAATTTGGTATGGTGATAGCTGGTTATCCGGGTCAACATATAGGATACTTTTTACCGCGGGAAAATATCTCATTTCTGAGAAAAAATACAAAAACTACATTTTAAGAGTATACTCATATGTAAAACCTAAGAATTTGATTTTTGGTCATCTGAACGCGGGCGGAGCCGCAGGCAGTGCTAGTTATATATATATTTATAAAGTTCATAAAATAATATATTATAGATTGATTAAAACAACCTAGTTTAATTGTATTGCAAGCAACAGGTACACTTGTACTACCTATAAAGGATTTTGCAAGTCATTCGCGGATGAATGTATAATTTTTACGGACTTTTGTTTAAACCTAAACAACATACAAAATAGTCTCTAGTTTCTACACATACATGATCAAACTTTGATTTATATGAAATTAGTTTATTAATATATTGTTAATTGTTTGTTACGAAATGTTCAATATTGATTTTTACAAGTTTCTAAAGTAATAATAATTATATATTTATTTTTTAATTTATTTTTAAGTTAGTAATAGAGTAGGTACATTTAAGATTATAATAGAAACGAATTTCCAATGTTACTTTATTGCAAATCTGTGAAAGTGTAAGTATAAGTGTAACTATTACAAATTAATAAGTGGGTAAATGTAAATAATTTATTATGTTTTTTTTAAATTTGTGATGACCACGTGAAGCACAGTACGGGGTGCGGGGGGAGGTTCGCCGTGTGTAATTACAGAGCAGCCTGCCGACGCGGCGCTCGACCGACGCTATTGCATAACCACGTTATACAAGCTGCGCCTGCGCATACTTAG